TCTCTCTCTCCCTCTATATCTATCCATCTACTCATTTAATTTGTGTTCGTTTATGCAAACGATTTCTAAAAGCTTCACCATAGTTTAAAGGTTCTTGGATTCTCTATTGCTCTTTATATCGTTGTGAACTTCTACTTGTCACTTTTTTGCAGGAAGAATAAGAGGATCTCCAAGGGAAAGAAGGGAGGGAAGAAGAAGGCGTAAGTGAAAATTATTTTTATTTGTGTTTTCTCATCTCTTCTAGGTTTTTTTTTATCCATTTTCGAAGGGATTTATCGTCATTTTGTTATTTGTTGCAGAGTTGATCCCTTTGCCAAGAAGGATTGGTATGACATCAAGGCACCATCCATCTTCAATGTCAGGACTGTTGGAAAAACCCTAGTTACTCGTACTCAGGGCACAAAGGTGTGTTCTAAATCTCTCTCTTTCTCTCTCTCCCCTTATCTGTCTCTCTCCTTCTCCAGTGTCTATCATAATTTCGCTGGAGTCTTCTGGCAAAAGCACTAACACACAGGTTCTGGAATCTTGCGTATGATGAATGGGAAATAATGCTTGTGTAATGGATCGGATCAGCTGTTTGATTTGGGTATGAGTCATAAAAATTCTCAATTTGGTTTGTTCAGAAGTGATTGTTTTCGAATATCACTATCTCACTTATTTTGTTTGGGGCTTCTCATCAGAAGTAATTGTTTTTGTTAGTGATTTTAATGAATAATGGCAAGTAGTTATTTGTCTTATGATAATTGGTGCTTTCATCCTTTAGTGATGTTTTGAAAATATTTGGAGGAATTTTATGTATTATAAGGTGTCATTTTTTAGGGTAAAAGTATTGAACTTTGTGTAGTATTTGATTGAATTGGTTATTGAAAGTATTGCAAGAAGGACATTACCTTAATTTTTTTGAGAAATGTTAACTTCGTATAAAAAGGTGAACTTCCAAAACGTATCCAAAAAATGGCAGCCAACTAGTTGGGTGCTCCGTATAAATCAAAAAAAGGCACTGACCAGCCCACAGGTCGGGCGCTCTGTATACTACCAAAAAAGAAACATGTGGGAGAAGAGGTAGATAATGTACATTATCTTAATTATTTTCTTAAATTTAATGACAAGTGAAATTGGGTATGTGATTAAGGTGTTCATTGGGTTCCTTATATGTTTGTCTAATGTTCATCTGTCTAATGTTCTTGATGAGTTGGAAGCTTCTTGGATCAATAGAGTTTGAGTATATTTAAACATTGTATTATCTATTGTCTCTTTGCAAGTGTTCCTTTGAATATGCATTTAAACATTACATTATCTATCTCTTTGCAAGTGTTCCTTCTTCATTGTTCTATCACAACGGAAAAGTTGACATTGATGTTGTGCATTTGCTGGAAAACATATGCAATTAATGGGATTACTTGATGCAGAACTGAGTGGACCCTCTTAACCTTAAATCTTTCTTTGCAATCTTCGGAGTGGAGATCTATTCCCAAGATCTCCTTGGAGCATTTCATTTTATATTGCTTCCATCTTGATTAGTTTATGGGGAGTTAATGCCTGTTGTTGATATGGGCTTCTGTGTTTTGGATACCTCTTCAATGGTATTCGTGGTGTTTCAGCATGATTGCATGGCACCACCATGCTGGGTGGCCAAGCGGTTTGTACGAGTGCCTTATTTGTGAAAATTCAGCATCCTTCCATCATTTTGAATCAGAGAGGAATCCTGGGTGTGATTCAATCGTCTGTATTACCTCAGTTGGGACATTTGATCATTTTGAGAATTTCTCTTATCAACTTTTTTGTGAGGCTTTTAATCATAAAAAGCATGCGCATTAGGACATAATCCCCTGGTATTATTGGTCTTCCTGGTCATTATTCAAAGCAGTTGTGGCATGCTTGTTTGGTTTTATTTAGAATGTCTGACGGAATTCCTTTGCAAAACATTGTTAATACCTATCATAGAATAGGTGGAATGCATCCCTGATACCCATGTTATTCTTGGAAACCCCGTGTAATCCTTGGTGGCCTTTCCCTATGCATATGTTGGTTGACATATCCTAAGGCTAGTGATATTGACATTTCTATGCAAGAACATAAAACATGTCATAGTCTATTTTAAAGGGAAAACATCAGTTACACTCCCAAGGGGCAACCATCTGACGTAATTGTTCACATTAAGATAGCACTCTTCAACCTCTAAATGGAATCCTGGGAACATCTTTGGTACCTCATGATGTCGGGATGTCCAGCAAGCCTCTGTAATCTGTTTTTTTTTTTTAAGTATGGTTTGTCATTCCATGCAAGTCATATTCAAATCTTATTATGTTTCCGACTGATGTCCAATTTTTATATTATTGCCTCATGTGCAGTTGTACTCTGTTGTGTTGTTAGATGGCTTGTACTCTGGTTTTCATTTGTGGGATCAGTTGAGCATATTAAGAAAGCAAAAATGCATACATTCTTAAGTGCCTGAAAACACTCACGCAGCCATCATTTGTTCTGTTTCTGTTCTTTTGGAGGTGGGGGGAGGGGGGGGTGTTGGGTGGGTAGTCAACAAACTATTTAGTATTTATCGTCTCCTTCTAACCATGGGGATACACAATTCCAGTGAAAGTTCACAAAATTTGACCCATGTGTGTACGAAGCTGTTTAGCTATTATTAACTGAAATCAGGTATTCTGAATCTTATTTTTTGGACCCTTAAGCTTGTCATGAGATTATTATAACATGTAATCAAAACTATGATCACCTCCATGTGCTTATAGTTGAAGATTATGGTCCATGTCTCGTAACATTTGCGGAGTAGAACACATGGCTGTATCTAAAATTTTCTGTATACGGGGCTACCTGCAGTTGTGAGACTACTGGATATTTCCCTGAGCTGTAATTTTTTCATGTCAGTATTGTATTAAGTATCACTCTTGCTCTGTACAAGTTTGACGAGCTTCTTAGATGAATCTAATAATAGTATATTCAATGGCAATTGAAATTGGGGTTCTGAGATCAATATCTAATTCTTAACTCTTGTGCAACATTTGTTCTCACCATACTACAAGATGTGCTTTGTTTGGAAAGCTATGAAAATCTAAAATAGATGTATCTCTTTTGCAGATTGCTTCAGAAGGTCTTAAACACAGGGTGTTCGAGTGCAATTTAGCTGACCTTCAAGCTGATGAGGATCAATCATACAGAAAGATCAGGCTTCGTGCTGAGGACATCCAAGGAAGGAATGTGCTCACCAACTTCTGGGTAAGCAAGCATGCGTTTCTTGTAGTTATATCTTTATCGTTTATTGATAGTACTGCATTAGATGGTGTTTTTCCTGTTCTATTGTTTCTTGGGTGAAACTGAATTTTAATTTTTTCATTCAAGGGATATCTTACTCATTTCTCTCTCTTGGTCTTGCTAATTTTCAGGGGATGGATTTCACAACAGATAAGTTGAGATCGTTGGTCCGCAAATGGCAAACCTTGATTGAAGCTCATGTGGATGTGAAGACCACTGACAATTACACACTACGACTGTTTTGTATTGGGTTCACAAAGAGGCGTCCTAACCAGGTCAAACGTACTTGCTATGCTCAGACCAGTCAGATTAGACAGGTTTGATCTCTCTCTGACACACACACACACTCTCTCTTTCTCTCTCACCCATCCACACACAAACACTTCCATTCAATATAACCTGGTGTTATTTCTCACCTCTAGCATCTTAATTCATTATCTCTCTTTCTTCCCTCACACAAACACCTTGCATGCTCTCTCTCTTGCTCGCTCGTTTGCTTGCTCTCTCCTGCGTGTCATATTATTCATTGGATAAGTGATTGGATCAGTTTTTTGGTGTCACTATTTCATGTCGGATTGGCATTGGTATCTTGATATTGTTATGGGCATGCATGATTAATTTTTGGTGACAATTCTTGGATCAGTCTTTGATGTCGTTATTTCATTTCGGGTTGGCATTGGTATCGTAATAGTTGATATTGCATATGGCCATGCATGATTAACTTTTGGTGACAATTCTGTGGATTTGGTGGCAGATTCGTAGGAAAATGAGGGAAATTATGGTGAACCAAGCGACATCTTGTGATCTCAAAGAGTTGGTTCAGAAGTTCATTCCTGAGGTGATCGGGAAGGAGATTGAGAAAGCAACTTCGAGCATATATCCTCTGCAGAATGTATTCATTCGTAAAGTGAAGATTTTGAAGGCTCCCAAGTTTGATCTTGGCAAACTAATGGAGGCATGCTCTTTCTCTCTCTCACACGCACGCAATGCTTTATTACAATACCCCCTTTCTTCTTTTTAATCAGGCTATCTCTCTGTCTCCTTCACAACAATCTATTATTAGCTACCTCTGTGTGCGTGTGCTTGCTTTCGAATAATGGAATGGATGATTTGCAGGTTCATGGCGACTACTCCGATGATGTGGGTGTGAAGGTGGAGAGGCCGGCCGAGGATGTAGCCATGGACGGTGAAACTGAAGTTGCAGCGTAAGGTGCAAGGCTCCCTTGCTTCTCTTTATTAAATTTTTCTTGTCAACGATTTTGCTAAGTGATTTGTCAACGATTTTGCTAAGTGAGGTTGTTCACAACTTGCGACGAATGACACTGAGGAACTTCTCATTAGTTGGATGTACTTGAGATTTAATTTGTTTTCTTTTCTGAACTTTCTACTATATGATGGCTAAGATTTCGGATGAGTTTGAGTTTTGTGGAACCCTAGCATGGCTCCATAGAGAGGAGGCAATATTTTACCAGTATTTCAAATTAGGGTTAAACTGAACATTGAGTTTTATATAGTTTGGTTATTGCGTTTATCATATTCCTGAAACAAATTCACACTCGAAGAATGCCTGGAATTATATTGTGATGCTGTGAGTGTGTTATATTGTGATGCTGTGAGTGTGAGTGTGAGTGTGAGTGTGAGTGTGAGTGTGAGTGTGAGTGTGAGTGTGAGTGTGAGTGTGAGTGTGAGTGTGAGTGTGAGTGTGAGCGTGAGTGTGAGCGTGAGCGTGAGCGTGAGCGTGAGATTCATCCACAAATTCCTCTATTTAAATCTTCTCAGGAATTTTTTAAGGAAATTTCTTCATTGAAATTTGTTTCCATGGCTTTTAATCACATTGTTTGAGGCCTTTCATATGGTGCTGATCCACATTTGCTTTGGTGAAAAGCCTTTAGTCTGAATTGTATCCCCAAAAGACTCAAGCGACATTGGTATTTTTCTTTATTTGTATTTTGAAAAGTGTAATTGTTGGGAAATTAACTGAAAAATATCTCAGTTTTTAGACTAAAAAATAGTCTCATTTTTTTAAAATAAAGATTTCTTGCTCCTGAGTAACCGAACTGTTCAAAACTTGATATTGGAGTATTTTCAGACTCCTAATTCTGGTATGCTATATAATAAATGAATTTCTAAATTGCATTCTTCCCGGTTCCTGAGTTACATAATGCCTCGAGATTGAATAGAAATCGTCTAATTTTTCGAGGGTGAGGTGCAAGTGCTAGAAATTTTCAAATTCAATTTTTCTCTTCTTTTGAATATAATCATCTAGTGAATTTTAGAGTATCATTAAATTTTTTGGATATGTATTATTGAACAAGTTCATAGGCTCTGATTAAACTTTTTTGAAATTTTGTGACCTCTTAAGCTGTCAAATTTCAAATGTCACCATTTGATAACTAGAAGTAATTGTGAATTTTTTTATATTCAAAGTAAATTTTAGAATAGTAAGCCATGATGCCATCCCATATTAGTATTTGTAAGAGTTTGGTATTAATCAATTCATTAATGATGGTTCTTCTGTGGATGTGGAGTATGTATTTAAACAAGGAAAGATGGATTATTTCATCGACTTTGCTTTTTTTTTGTTCTTATTTTCTCCTTTTAAGAATTTGTTTTCGATCTATTGGACACAAGAGGAAAAGACCATACTTATTTTAGTAGAACAGAAGATTATTGGATGCAAGACAAGGCGAAGATTAAACTTGATTACTATGGAAAACTCAGTTTCAAATAGGAGACTGGATATTTGAGCTAGGACTTCGAAATTATTAGGCTTTGTTTATTTCCAGGCTATGAGAACTTAAAACTTGCTAATTTTATCAGGGATGTATGTCAAATCTATGTTTGATAGCATTTTGTTCAAAAAGAAACAAGATAGTTCCTTTTAAATAGAAAATATATTATGTACACGATTTTGTTTTCCATATTCTAGATTAAGAATATTATCTAGTTTTTCAGATCCGCATTAATCTGACATAAACAATGAAATATAGGAACTAAAGGGAACTCGAGTAGGGAAAATAAAATTTCACCTTCATAAGTTTTTTGGACTTTTATGATGATTTTTTTATTTTCCAATATTATAAACTTTTATGTTTCATAAACCAATATCTTACTGTTTTCAGATTTTAATTATGACCTTATATTGCTTCAAATATAATTTATCCAAATTTAAAATAAATACTAAAATAAGGGAATTAACGAAAGATCCCTCATTTTTTAGGTGTATTTAAAGGATGGGAAATGACCTTGTGAGACCTTTTTAAATCCATTCGTGTAGGACCGAATTTCAAAAGATCACTATTAAATTTGGCACAAATATGTAGAAAAGTCAAGTTTCACACTTATGTGATAACTTTTCTAGATATCTGTGTCAAATTTAATGGTGATCATTTGAAGTCTTACATATATAGGTGTGGGAGGTGTGGGAAGGTCTCATAGGATCATTACCAGTAAAAGATATCCTAAAAGTTTAAAATTTTACAAATTTACCTTTTTTGTTTTTTCAACTTATTACTATTATTTCCAAAATGCCCTTAAGTTTGGTACTCGGGAGTGCAAAAATAATGTTCAATATTGCGTGTACTTAAACATTATCTTTATCTTGGCTTAATATCTTGTTTGGTGCTCTCAAGAAATATTTTTTTTTAATAGAAACCAATTGAATACTATTAGTACCAAAATCTTTTTCTTATTTCAACGTGAACCAACTCGGTACAACAACTACCGGACCTGATTATGTAAGAAAAGAAGTAAGAATATGTTGTGTTGTATTTAAAAAATAAAATCAAACATCATGCCAAAACAATGTTCGGTATTCTCAATATAGCAAACATTCTCTTTTAGGCTGCTGAGGATTTTGCACATACATAATTTCAGAAGAGAATTTGAGGGAGCAGCATTCATCGCCTCCTCTTCAAATGCTTTTGGTAGTGGGGAAAGTTGGAGGAGGATCCATGTCGTACCTTCACATTCTATGCAGTTTTAATTGTTGGAAGCTGAGGAACCTGCCTGATGGCTTTGAACGCCCTGTTTCCCTCAAGCATTTGGCGATTCGATGTCTTGGGTAATTTATATTCAAGGCTGAGAAATTTATCTCATGGTGTTGTCCTAGGGGAAGGTTGTTACAAAGTCCGTCTTATCACTCTCGTCACAATTGAGTGACGGATTATTCATCAAGAGCTAAAAGTTAAAGCATCACTTCATCCCCTCGTTTGAGTCTGTATCATTTCATTTGCAGAAAATCTAAACCCAATAGTAGTTGGTTGAACCAAGCATGTGGAATTGGTACAAATAGGCGGTGGTGGCATGCAAAAGGCTGGAATGGTTTCATGATTTGCACTTTTGCCTCTCTTTTTTTTTTCTTCTCTTTTCTGCAATAGTTTGTGTCAATTATTTTATGGAATTGAAGACATCTTTGTTATCCATGGCTTGGGCTCTTCTTACTTATTGCGGTTTGAATAAATTGTTAAGTCTGTGTTTCATCCTGTTATTTCTTCCACTTTGCCCGGACTTCCAAGTTTGATGAGCGAAAAGCAAAGGTAACTGTCATTGACATATTTGGGAACCTTCTATGTTTTATCAATATAATTTCGCAGTTAAAAAATCGGAAAACCATATTCCTAGAAAGAAATCAAATATGCAACCCCACAATCGGAAAGGATTCTTCTGCAATTCACATCTACGAAGTAGAACTGAGATTCTGGGAATCAACTAAGGGTGTTAGAAGTCAAACTCGATTTCTATGGAAAATCCGATTGCCAATAGAAAATCAAATTACTTAAATTAGATGTGGTTATATTGGAAGAGAGAAGTTCCAAATGGATCCTTTAACTAATGAGCATACCATGTACTTTTCTAATTGAAGGGAAGACTTGGAGGTCATTCCCATTTATTCAGCCTCACTCTTGAAGATTTTCACAATGTGACATAAAAAGGAGGTTCCAAACACAACCATCATGAGTGGTAAAATTTGAGTCAATATCAATAATGAGGAAGTGATGCGCACACTAAAATTTTCAGACAAAATTAGGGAGAGAGCAAATGCCATAGAAAGATGAGGTGGAAAAGACCAGGCCCTTTTCAATGGGGCTTTACAGTTCCTCTAAATCATGGATGAAAGTGTCCAGCACTAGGTGAACTAGTAAACAAATAAAGAAAGAGGAAAAAGGCACTTATGCTCTACATACAATGGTTTAAGAATGACAAATATCCTGCATTCTCTAATTGATGCTCATCTCAAAGTTATGGGCCAATGTCAAATCTCAGAACAGGCCTCTCTCTCTCTCTCTCTCTCTCTCTCTCTCTCTCTCTCTACTACTACTACTACTACTACGTACGTACGTACGTACGTACGTACGTACGTACGTACGTACGTACGTACGTACGTACGTACGTACGTACGTTACGTTACGTTCGTTCGTTCGTTACGTTACGTTACGTACGTACGTACGTACGT